GGGTATTTTGCTGCTCGTCCATCGCGCGTGTGGCCCCCCTATTGGCAAAAAGACGGGAAGGAGAGGTGGGAAGGCAGGTCTCACCTGCCTCGTCGGTCATCACTATACTCTCCGCCCCTCCCCTGGCGCCGTTGCGCCCCAATCGCAGCTTCCCGGGCTGCCAGATCTCGCCAAAGCGGATTGTCGTCCGCGACGCCTCGGTGACGCCAGGAGTCATGATGGCGGGCTGGGGGCTTGACCAGGTCAACCTGGTCCATTGCGGGTGCCAGGCGAGGCACCAGCGACTGGTGGCTGTGGGAGATACTGCGCGAGGGTGAAGCCAGCCGCTGTGCGTCCACAGCCGCTGTGCGTCCACAGCCTGCTGTGCCATTATGCCTATGAGCCCTCGCCGGACATGCCGATCGGTTAATTGCCAGCCCTGCTGAAGCCCCAACATGCCGCCCCGCCCCCGCGTGCGTTTTGATTGTCGCAAGCCTCGCAGGACTATCGCCTGTGACAAAGTCCTCGGCTTGACCGCGTGGCCCTTCACTGGTGCGGGCGCGGCCAGCCGCTCGCCCTCGCCTGTTTTCCCATTGGTTTGGGACAACCCAGAGGCGCGTACGCCCGGCCGCAGTGCTTTACACAGTACTGTGGTTGACTCACGCAAAATATAATTCCAGTAAGGGGCCGGGTTAACCATTACCACCCCGACCCGTTGGAATCAGAGATGCACACTTATAAAGTATAAAATACCTTGCAAAACCAAACCCACACACAACCTCAGTCATATTCAAACAACTTATGAAAAACGCAATCCTTCCTTTTTCTTTCTTTTTCATGTTTTCTTGCTCTCTCTGGCATCTATGCCTTTTTCATGAACTACCCATGTCTAGCTTGTCATCTTCATCAAAGAGCCCAAGATGGGCTGGAAGAAATGTTGTTGAAATATTGTTGAAGGTTGGGCTGATGTGAATTACTGGACTGCGATGGACGATAATCGCCTTTCTTCGTCAGGTCAGGCAACCCAGATGGTCTTTCTCAGACCACGGATGTGCTAGCTAGGATCATCTCAATTCATCCACACAACCTGGACCATTGAGGCGGAGGAACTCCCAGAATCATCTTTGAATCCAGTCAGTCTGGGGAGCTGACTAGTGGCACGGATTTGTTGAGCACACAAAGTGGTATCTCATCACCAGCCCTTGTCTCCTAAACCTTCCACCTCATCTACACTCACTCCTAAGGTTTGCAGCAGCGTGCTCATAACCCAGTTTCGGAGGGCTTTCTTTTTTGCTTTTACTTTTTTGTTTTTCAAATTCAGCAATGGTGGCATACTTGGGCCATCCATGCAGTGCATATAGCCCATACGATAGATACCCATCGTACGGCAATTACATAAGTGATCCACCCAGTGAAAACGGTGGTCATTATGTGGGGTCATGAACATTGCCAAATTTGATAGTGGGTTGGAAGATGTGTGGACCTTCGAGTTGATGATGGGCGCTCGTGTTATGTGTCCCAAACTGTACTTGAGCAGAGGGGAAACTACGTCACTCCCGGAATGTCCAAAGCAATGAAGTGATGGGACATTAGCCCAAATGTTGTTTGCCATAAAAGCCAATGTTGCAATGTTTAAAGCGAGGCCACCGATGATCAGGCGGATAACTTAGTGGTTAAGTGCGCTTTGCCCTAGTGACGTGTGCCGAACGTAGAGGGGGAGGCACCAAACGACGACATATGTACCACCATCAGGATTCGGCCAGATTCTCCTCATGTCGCCCCCTGACAGATCAAAGAAATGAAGGTTGGATCGCTGCTGAGAATGTGCTTATCCATTTGCATTTGAGACTGGACCGAAGGTGATGAATTCGAAAGTATACTTCCATTAGTTACTCATGGTCAAGCATTAAAGGAGGCCCCTCAGCTGTGCTGACAGGTGACCAGGATCTGCAAAAGCATTCATGGATTGCCTCTTTCAGTGTTGGCACTATCTTACTGGTTTTGCTGGACGGGCGGGCGCTCCCCTCGCATCGGGTTGCACGAGAAAATACTGCCTTGATGGAACCACGACAAATTTGCACTGGTCCGGAAAAGCGTTGGGTCCTCGGGCCTTGGGTTGAGAATAAATGGTAAGCACCGACCCCAGCGCACACGCGCTGAAATCGGAGCTTGATCAACAAAGAACGATATTGAGCATAGCAGAGGTGCACTTGCGCTGCCTTTCCACATTGGCAAGCTGATGGTTTCCTGTTGCGCGTTTTAGGAGACGAGGGCGGACCATTCGTCATCAAGCCGAGCATCAGGATGTTCAAGGACGTCTTGTTCGGGATAGCCTCCTTCACCGATGGCCAGTGCACAGACGCCGAAACCCTGGGAATCGCCACTTCCATCAACAACAGGAAAACCCTCAGATGGCTGAGGCAGAATTTGCATACATGATGTGCCCCCCGCCTCCAGATATTTTGCAAACCACAGGTTATTTCTTGAGGATCTATGTGGTTGACACCTTCAGCGAGAGAAAAGACGCTGGTTAAAGCGAGGCAGCGCTCCCTGAAGTTTTGTATGTACACTTCGGGTGACCTACGATTGGTTCTTCTCTTCCAGATGGGATACTAACTCTAGGAAGCGGTGCACAGGCATGGTGGTGGGTCTGGCTGAAGCTGGGCGTGCAGGACGTCCCTGTTGGCTGATGGACGCGGCCCAAACACATCGAAAACAGTGAACTGCGAAAGGACAGCCGGATTGTTTACAACGTACCATTGTGCGAGTTGCAAGGTCGAAACTTGACCAATCTTTCATCTGTGTCCCATCACCATTCCACCTGGAGGGCTCCGAGAAGACGGGAGCACTTGCCTTGGCGAGTATGGACGCTCAGGTACACCAGGATCAGCCACGTGTGTACATCCAGTCGGGGGAACAGCACTGACGCCCGTGCTGCTGGCGTCTGCATCGCAGCTCAGAACGAAATCATGCTTTACATGCTAAGCTCACATGCTGCATAGGAAGGGCATGTTGCGCTGACGCCCCTTGAAGCAGCAGGCACATCAACACAGCCCGTTCATCCAACAGTGTATCGTACAGTGGCCCCAGCGGGACAAAAAAACGGCCAGCGATTGCGGCGGATTCCACTCCAGTGCCTGGCGCCGACCTTGTCCCCTTGCTGCCGTACCACCCCTTCCCCTCCGCCTCTGGACGACACTTTATTGCCACGAGATATGGGCGTGACGTTTCACCCCAAACCCCGGTCACGTTCCACTGCCGCTAATTGCCGACGCCTGCACAGCGACCTTTCGTACTCAGGAAGTCCGCTGCACGTTCCTCCCCCAAAACACAGGGTGATGAACGAAAATACAATTACAGAGGCCTACACAAATCTATATAGCGCTGTCCAGCAGGTACCGGGCAATGCTCCCAATCCCTGGCTAGCCCTGACCGCACACAGAAACAACACACCATCCGCACAGCGAACCGACAGCAGTGGCCCAAATTCGACGCTCCACAATGCCAGGTTTCTCATCCCTTCCCATCCACTGGTTCCCTGCCTGGAAGCTCGGCCAACTGTTGCCTTTAGTCGGTAGTTGCGGCAGGCATTGCACAGTGTCCCTGAAACGGTTCGACTATCCGGAAGCTGCAAACTGTGCAACGTCCAGCACTGCGCGTGCACAGCGCCCTGACTGATTCTCCCATCTTCAGCCACAGTCCCAGCGCCAAGCCCTTGACACGGTAGGTGTGAGCTGCTGCCCATCATCCTCCCCTAACATAAGCTGCGGGACGCAGTGGGCAGAAGAAGGGGGTTCGTGAACAGCCAACCCCTTGCTAGCTTGCATTCCCTGGCGTCCTGGCATATTGAACAATGGCCTTGATCTCTTTGACGCTCTGCAAAGAGAACACGGCACAGTCATAGACAGTCAACGCAAGGCATTTCACAGATTCGAGGATGTCCCGGTCAGATTCTTGAGCCGCAGCGGGCGGTCTCCTTTTCCGTCTCAGAGACAATTCCACAACTGACAGGGCTTTGCCAGACAATATCTAGTGTTCGCAGGGGAATCCACACATCTCCTCTGGTACATTGGATGGGCATGTGACCTGTGTTCATTCCACATATTCTATTGTATGTGGACACACCTCAGCGCTAACACTACTGCTCCGCCTCCACTACAACGCCACAGGAAAGAAAAGCAAAGAACCGCATTCTCCCCATGCTAGATAGTTCATGTTCTGCTGTCGAATGCCAGTGCAAACTTGTCCTGAATGCATTGTCTCAATGGCAAACTCTGGCCGAGCATCTCACCGATACTGTCAAGTGCGTTCCACACAAACATTGATTGTGCCTTGAACATGCATGATTGATTGACATATTCAAAGTGCATACGAATATTGTCAACTACTCTGAAGCACTTGCTTCGACTGAGCCTCAGAGAAGTGTCATGTGCATGAACCTTGGCCCAAGAAAATGTACTTCTGCCACAACGAATATAGCTAAAAAGTCACACACCAATACAATGTACATGCACAGGGTCATGCAGCAACATTGTCAAGAAAGTTGTGCCATTTTGACACAACCGCCAAGCTGGGCATGGTACCATCTCATCTCAACCTGGCACGATCAATCAAGGGAACCCTGTCTGCAAGACACTGACCTGCAGGCCCTTCAATCTTGCAATGGTACTCTCGTCGATCTGATCAACGCCCTCGTTGTACTTTAGGGCCCCTACTGGGAGGTCCCTCTGGAACCAGGGATGGTGCATTATTTGATCCATGGACATCCTCTTGGCAGGGTTGGCTTCGAGGATGCCTGCCAGCAAGTTGCGGCACTCCTCTGTGATGGTGACGGCCTCACGGCTCACCCCATTTGGCCTGAACTGCTGGTGGGGGATCTCCACTTTGCCTCCAGCAATTCTCTGTGCACAGTCCAGCAGGATTAGTGAGAGGTTTTGTCACCACACTTGCACCGTTATGTCCTCAATGGCAAAACACTGAGCACAGCCTGGCAAAAACCTGGAAGAGTGTAAGCATTGCTCTGTGCCTTCAAGGCCATAAATGCAATCTCTGTATGTTGTCAATCGAAACAAAAAGCCCAAATGGCACACAGGCATTGGTGATACACGTGCTGGCATGGCATATCTTACCAGGGTATATGCACATCGCCTTCAAACACATTTGCCATTTCAGCACGAACAATCCTTTGCAACTATCGTGCGAATACAGGCACACACACTGCTCACATACAGATGGTTCTTACTAATGGGGGATTCCACTACATTGCCTTGTCTTATTCTGGTCACTATGGCACAGAGGTGGATTCTGCAAAAGAACAAGAAAAAGAAAAGACCCCCATGGTGATCTGTTAATTCCTGACAAGAACAGATATGTATGACTGGCTGTTGTAACATATCAAAATGCACAAAATGGACACCAACCAGGCAAACAATGCCTACTGATGCATCAAGTAATCTTCTCCCACCCAGCACCCTTACTGCAAGCATCTTCTTTGTCTTCTCTGGCGAGTCGTCATAGGGATCGTCAAAAGGATAGTAGCCATACAGCATGACGAACAGACACACTCCGCATGTCCAGATGTCCACCCGCTTGCCGTCATATCGCTTCTTGTGCACACCATTCCTCAGGACTTCAGGAGCCAGGTAGCTGGGTGTCCCCACACACGTCTTGGGCTCAGAATCGTCACCGCCCTACACAGGAGCATAACTTCCATCACTGAGTGACTCATGGCCAGACACGCCAGCATGGCAGAGGCTGAAGCAGCCGCACAGCTAAGGTCTACCCAGGCAGCAAATTTTCACCAGTAGGAAAAGCCCGTATTACTATGTTTTACTACATTTGCCATTGACTTTACCACTTGCATGTCCATGGTTCCCAGGTTTCAATTGTCAAAAGGCAAATTGTACCAGAATTCGATGGCACAATTCGGCTCAACATGGCAATAGGGCACATCCTCACTGGTTTAAGCACACAAAAGCCTTATGGAACAAACGACACTGTGCAGATGTGCACTTGTAAACCGCCAAAGGTTCAAAGCACGTTCAGGCAGTAGAAACAAGTGGAAGCAAATAACATCTAAAACATGGACTGCTCAATGACAAAGGGCACCAATGTATTCGGAACTAGGTTTGGCGACAACTTTCTAGTCTACTCAGTTGTTGCAATAATTGGTGAAATACAACATCCTGGAAAGTCGTGCAAAATAATCTGCTCATAAAGGCGTGTGTCATTCACCACAATATATCTTTCACTGATTGCATCAGATGAATTCTGACAGGATCTTGTCTTCCTTGTAGGTGTGGGCGACATTCCATAAGTGGTGAATTCCCTTGCAAGGCAGCTCAATTTGGCCTTTGGGTTTCAGCTCTAGTGAGTTTAATGTGTGATGCTTTGCAAGGGAATAGAACAAGCAGCTAAGATGAGTTCACTGGTGTAGTCACAGACGAGTATGAGTTGCAACATCCCTGAACAGCGATCCTTCCCTCAAAGTAGCAGCATCAAAAGGGCCTCTGGGCTAACATAGGGCACTCGGAATGGCACCAAACTCTGAGTTTTCTGATTATACTTGAGTGGTGGCAACTGCAACGATGTTGCCTCCTTGTGACTCGATGGGTGCTACTTCAGTTTCACCAAATCTGCAGAACTATGGGGACTGCACTTCTTCGTGCGAAAGCAATGCTTTTGGAGAGCACTACAACACTCAGGATCGCTGTCCAGGAAGCAAGAGGCATGTGGATGCTCTCACCTTGCTGAAGCCAAAATCGCACACCTTCAGCAGCCTCTCTTCACGATCCAGAAGTATATTCTCCAGTTTGATGTCCCTATTGACGACATCCTGTGTATTGACAACCAGCTGTTAGTCTTGTATTGCCAGACGCTGTCGATAAGCTGAGCTACAGTGCGATGGCCACAGATGTTTCCTTTCCATCTCTGCATACTATGTTCATGCTCAACACTGTTAGGCACCTTGGCCTGGGGCCTGGGGTGGTGGGGGGGGAGGTGGGTGGCTGTGCGCTGACCTGTCACACTGAGGAACTGTGTAACTGCCAAGCAATCGACATTGTGTGCTCCCTCAGTGCAACAAGCAAATGCCTCAAGCATCAGACGATTCTCTGAACAACTGAACAGGGCTGTGGTACGCTTCCATTCTCAGGGACACCTGGGCCACCCTTTCAGTTATCAGCACAACTCGTATGCACTTGGAAAGACATCAGACAGAACAATGGTCCCTGGATCGAACAACTGGACAGCTCATGGGACCAAATCTTGCACAGCAAGCCACTGCTCTGAAGACCTAACCCATTTCAACGAAACCCAGCCCATGTCCACAACCTGAATCGCATTTTTCCACAAGAGCCATACATGGCTGGACAAACACAGTGCGCCACAGCAGAATGCGATGTGCATCTGGCAAGCAGACAAACAAGCACTGTAAACTTCAGAGCAAGCAACCCTGACTACAAAAGCTTCTCCACATACCCGCAAGTGGCAATATTGGATGGCGATCATCAGCTGCTGGAAGAACCACCTTTCACAGCACACAGGATAACTGAACACACAACGTTGCAATTTTTTAAGGATGCACTTCCTTTGTGAAACTTCTACTATGCTCCATGCTTCCCTCAACACATCCTTGGTTTCAGATCTTTCTTTCACCAGTATCATTGGGAAACTTCTACTATGCTGCATGCTTTCCTCAACACATCCTTGGTTTCAGATCTTTCTTTCACCAGTATCATTGCAATGCGTAGCACTCTTGGAACAACCCAAGGCTTGAAATCCAAATGCTGGAACCCAGCATGGTGGTTGCTCCATGAGAAGCAACACTGCAGGCTGGCCACCCTACAACAGTATGACATAGCAGAACACTGCGGATGCAGACAATGCCTCTTGTTGCAATTCCTTGTGCTTGTACATGTTTGCTGACAATCCCAGCGAGGACAAGCAATGAATTCACACACAAGCACAGCCAAACAGCCTCACCCAATATTGGCAATTGTTGGTAACAAAAGGGAATATGGCCTGCAATGGACTGGGCAACAATGGTTGTTGCCTCATTTTCATCACGGTCAAGATGATGCACAACAGGAAAAGCCCAGATGGCAAGGGAGCACCACCAACAAGGCCAATGTGCACCATGCTGCCAGCCCACCTTGCACACTGCTCAGGTAGGCACTTGTGCTTTCCAATGAACTGGTGCATGTCACCACCTGCTGCATACTCCATGACGATGCACAGATGGAGGTCAGTAACAAAAACCTGCAGGGCACACAGCTCGATCAGATAGCAAACAACTGACGTGTCTGCCAGGTAATCAGACAACCGGACAGTTGTCTGCTATCTCACTTTCCCAATCATTGCATCGATCGAAGAGTGAATGGCATGTTTGTCGGGTGTTACAGGTAGCAAACCTCGAATGCAAGATTTTGGGATATAACAATGGCACTGATCTCAGCTGGCATGCAGACAGGCATGGGGCAATACAGCACCAAGGGCTTTAGCACGGTGCACAATGAAAGCATACAGCCTGCCAGGTCGCTTAAGCAATGTCAAGGCAGCTTGACTGTTCAAGCGAGGCTGCCTGCATCACTGCTCAGTGACAGTGATCGATACCCAACTGCTGTCATGAATACAGCTGTGCTGGCCGCGTCCCTTATTGGCCAGAGGATTGGGCCAAGCGGATGGACTTGCCAGCCGTTGACCCGGGGGCTTGCTAACCACAGTTGAGTGCCCGGGCTGCGGGCATCCTCGCAGTCCCAGCTCGGCAGAACCACAGAATCCTCCCCACCCTTCCCTGACAGCCCGCACTTTGCGGTTGGACGAGTGCTAAATAGAGGGGGTGGCCGGCAGCAGACAACGCACGCATGCCCCCCTTCAGTTTCCGGGGCGCTCGTTTGGAAACGCTGACAGCACCATGAACAGGGCCCTGGTGGAGCCGCGGCGCGCAGCATCAGCTCTCCACGGCACCTTCGAGAGGTGTTGCTGACAGCCCGCAAGCAGGAGACGCGCAGCCTTAGCAGTTTCACAAGCAGTGTGCACGCCGCGGGCCCGAAACCCGTCGCATCAACCGGCCACCGGCCCAAGGCCTGCAAGGCCGCCGCGGCGCGGTCGAGTCGCGAAAACCCCAGTCCAGACTTGGCGCCCGCCCGCTACCCACCTCTTTGAACGCAATTATGTGCGTCTGGCAGAGGGTCCGGTGGTTCAGGATCTCGCGTTCCACGTACTCGGTCACCTGCCAGATGCAAGCCAAACTTCACCAACGGTCATCCCACGCCAACAGCCACAACCCCTGCCACACATTTTTCCTTCCCCCCGCGCGAGGACGCCGCTCTCTCCGTTCCCCTCCCTCGCCAGCCCGCCGCGACGGGGCCGACCCAAGACGGGCAGTAGCTGCCAGACGTCGAGGGCATCCGCCACGGCAGCGACGCCGACCTGGAAAACATCCCCCAGCGAGAGACTGCCCGCATGGACACGTTCCCCATCGGGCGACGGCAGCCCAGCGCTTCAGCTTTCGCCGCAGCCTCCCCAGCGCTAACCACACAGCGGCAAACGGGACGACAGCAGTGCCGGTCGCCTAGTCCCTCCTCCCCCTCTTTCCTTCCCAAAGCCACGAACACACACACTTGTCGCATGTCACTCTCCGTCTCCATTGCCTTTCAACCCCAATCCGACGAAACAAAAGGATCAAAAGCGATACGCACGCTTCAATCCCCCGTCTCGACGCGATGGCCCCACTGCACGGTTCCAGAGGGCCCTCCCCAGCCAGCACGCGCCAACCGGCCACCCCCCACCCCCCCCCGCGCTGGTCCCCTCCGGCCCACTCACCTGCGGCCCCCTGGGTATGAACTTGATCGCCACGTACTTGTCCTTGACCTTGTCATACGCCAGCTTGACCTTGCCGAAGTGACCCTCGTTCAGGTTCTTCCCCTGCAGCGGCCGCGGGCGCCATGCCGTCAGAATGGCCTTCCTGAGCGACACGGGGACGCCACAACCTTGCCAAAATGGCCTTGCCAAAATCGCGTAGAGCGAATTCACCAAAGGGCGCGGGAAGGTCAGGAGCGGTGCGAGGTTTTGCGGAACGCTGTATTAAGGAGGCCATCGCGATGCTGGTGAGGTGGCCAGACGAGGCGACAGGGCGCGCAACGGGCCGCAACAGGCAGCGGCGTCAGGGACGATGGGAATGCCGGAACTGAAGGCTCCGGGGGCTGTAGGGCGAGCAGGGAGAGGCGCCTTCGCGCGCCGGAGGGTGCGGTTGGGGATCGGTGCGATCCAGGGGGCCCGACTGACGCCCAAGACCGACGTCACGGCCGCGGCGAGTGATGCGCCACGGCCCAGCCGGGCCAACGCCCTAGGGCCTCGAAGGCAATCGATCGGCGCACGGCCGAGGCAGGGGCAGCCGAGGCCGTCTGGCGGGGTACTTGCCCCCTTCCTAGTCGTCCGGCGCCCCCCGCGGGACCAAAGACTCGCCCAAGGCAATGCGGTCGACCCCAGGCGCGCAAGCCCACTCCCACAGCCCCGCCCTCCGCAATGCCGGCTCTCGCACAACGCGAGGGGCACTCCGCAGGAGCCCAAAGGCGCTCTAGCCAGCGTCACACGAACGCACGCGGGCCTCCCGCCCTCCCACTCCAACAAAAGGGCGCCGGCAACCTTGGCAATCCAACCACAGGCCATGCCCCACCGGCCGATCCAAATTGCCACGCGCTGGTCCCTAAGACAACGCCCAGACGCCCCGGGAACGCCGGAGGGGGAAAATGAACTGCGCGCGTCCCCGTCCTCGAATCGGCCAGAGCCGGCAGCAGAGTCCGCACCAGCTGGTACCTCCCCCCGGGCCCAATCTCCCCGTTCCGGCGGGACCCGCCCCTGGCACCGTAGTTGCCGGACCGGTCCATCCCGCCGCGCGTGCTCGCGTGAGCGCCCGTGGGTGCTGAGGGGCGGCGCGCCGCACGCGGCGACCGCTGAGACCACCGACTCCGTGTGCCTGGACGGGGTGCGGCTGCCGAGCCACTTGCTGCTGCTTTTCCTGCTCCGCATGACACCTTTTCACTGTTGGAGGATGACCAGCAGCGAAGCTGCGTCAGCGGGCGGTTGCCTGGTACAAGTCGCCCCCCCTGGGGTTGTTTCCGTACGTTGTGATTGGTGGCCATGGCCTGTGTGGCCGCGCCCCCCCCCGCGGCCCAAGCCACCTTGAGGCGGGCGCCCCAATGTCGGGCCGCGGCGCGGATGAAGGCGATCAGCCGTCCGTCGGGGTCGATCCGCCTGCACCCATCAGGCTGGCGGTCGCCGACCCGGCCGTTCGCTGGAGGGTGGGTGCCGGGGTTGATGTTTGCATCTTGGGGATGAGCGCTGGCTCTTTGCAGTCTGTGGAGGGACATGCAATGGGGCACGGCCCCAGCTTGTGGGTCATCAGCGAGATATGGAGCCATCTGTCATACGTTCCATTACCGTGAGGTCTGGGCCGGATCCCTGAGAAGCCCTCTTGACGTCCTGCGCCCGAAGCGGATGCGGGGGGGAGTGCGAGGGGGCCTGGATTCCAGGAGGCGGGGGCAAGGGCGGCGGGGGTGGCGTGCACAACGGTGGGGCTGTGAACAGCGGAACATTCTTACTACTGTTAAACTCGCTGTTAGCCATTGTGCCACATCAGCACAATGCTGGGTTCGTGGCAAAAGGCACCTTTGAAAAAGGCAGAATTCGTGGGGAAGCGCTGGCCCCTTCATCACACAACTAATGCGATCGGTGCTGGATAGATTACTGAGAGCGTAGGCTGTGTCGCAACTGCTGAATGGCAACAGAATAGGCCAAAAGGGGCAGTCATTCTACTTTGAAAATGGCTCCCATTCGTGACAGAATTCCGGGTAGAACATGCAGTTTCAAGAGCGCCCCAATGGTTGGGTGCTGTTGGGCGGCAATGCTCAAACGATAATGATGATTAGATGAACTGGCGAGTATACGAATGCTGTCCCGTACCTTGGGGTGCGCGTCTGCGGTTGCCATCATGTGTTGTGCCCCATGACGTACGATGTTATACAACAACCTTGGACGCTGAGTCGCAGGGCGCCTCAGAGGCATGCACACCACGGCGGCAACCTGTGGCGACGTGCTCAAACATGGGTGCGAGGGTGTGGCTGCCAAAGCTTGATGACAATGGTGATGATCAGGCTTGGTGTTTACGCCATAAAAACTGATCACATTTACGTTTTTACGCGTAAAAATAGTTTTTACGTTTGTACGTGTAAGAAGTTAAAAATAAGTAAACACAACGTAAAAACTGCCCGATGTACATAAGGACAGTACATACAGACTTACGGAATCCGGAGTGTGGCACCCAGATGCTCTGGAATGGGCAGGAAACGAGTTTTCGTTAAACGCCATCATCGCCTTTGCCAAGGGCGAGGTAGGCATTGTGTTGCGGGTGTGGAGATGGTGGAGGACTGATCATAGTATGCAACTTTCAAAGCGGATGTCCCAGGGAGCCGCAAACACGTAAAAATAGTCGTAAAAATAGGCCCTTTTGCAAATTTACGTTTGTACACGTAAAAACGTAAAAGTAAAAAAGTAAACGTAAAACCAAGCCTGGTGACGATGGCAGAATCGCATGGGCTACGTTGCGCTGCTTGCATGGCAGTGGTCTGCCTTGCCGAGCATCGAATTTTGCAAATTCCATGCCCACAAGGGGTTGCGATGAGCCCAAGGGACGCTCGAATCCACGATGTGCGGGACTGCTAGGCGCGGCCTGCATGTGAAGACCTGCCCAGCGATGGGGGGCGCGATTGAGGCGCTGGGGCCCGTGGTGGACACTAGGAAAAAACAGGCCAGATGACACAGTCCTGACACGGTCTGCCCAAAATCCAACTGTGTACTTTCGGCATATGTGGTCCCAAAAGTACACAGTCAGTACAATATTGACACAGTTTTGACCGTGCATCCTAGGAAACCGTGTTGTCTACACAGTTGGATTTTGGGCAGACCGTGTCAGGACTGTGTCATCTGGCCTGTTTTTCACTAGTGGGAGGCATGGAGGAGGAGGACAGGGCACATCCTGGTGATCTTGGAGCAACACCTTGTGTGTGAATGTCAGAGTGCCGTCCAATTACAATTGCTGCAAGCGATCGACTGTGGAAACGTGGCAGGGACCGAGTCCGAGAGCGTGGGCACTGCCCCATATCGCCCAACATGTGGCGCGTCGATTTGCGACATGCGGAACGATCGTGACACTGCATTGCGTTCGCATGGTGATTCGGTGAGTTGCATGAGGGTTTGGTGAGCAGCGATCGTGAAAAAAGAAACATCGGACTCTTAAAACCCACAAGGGCGTGGCATCAAAACGCGCTGCAACACTACCACGCTCATTCAAGTGTGAAGCCCTATGACGATCGTACCTCTTCAAGATCGAACAGGTCGGAAATCCGCAATCCGTAGTTCCTTCACAAGCACATGCAGCGCGCTCGCTAATGCCAGAGCCTGTCCAGCTGTCCATCTATGTCCAGCTGTGTATCTCTGATCGTGGCATGAGCCAGACTGGAATGGAGCGTTGTCGTCACGTAGCTGCCTCAGAAAATTTGTATCCGTTGTGGAACAGCGTAGTTGTCCCTCAGTCGTGGTGATGAGTGACGATCGACGACAGTCTGCGACTTGTGCTGTTGGTGAAGTGAGCAGTTGTCTAAGTTGGCTGCGATGAGCAATGATAGACGTGAATCTAGGCTGACAAAGGCTGAGCTGGTCGGTGGAGACATTTTGGCTTCAATGTTCAGCCTTGTTTGCTCACAAACACTGAATTGAAGTGCCTCGCTCTTGGAGCGCCTGTGCGAAGAAGTGGATGGCCTGGATCCTCACATTAGTGAAGCAGCAGCAGCAGCTCACCAGCCCTAATGGGCAGCTGCGCATGGAGGCTGCTTTAACACTATCAACTACATCAGTCCACATTTACGAGTAGGGACTAATGTGGTTGATAATAAGAATGTTCCAGTGGTCAGTGAATGGACTGCATTGGCCAATTACGCAAGCACAAGCCATGAATAGCATACTTCAGGGGGTTGTCACGTGATCGGTAGGAACCAGGCGGAAGAGTCCCGATCATCAGCTTCAGTAAGAGGTAGGCTGACGGCGTTTGATCACGTTTGACCTGGTATGGCTAGTAGCAATTTTGCCAAGGGCTGAGTGCACTGAGGGTTCCGGCTAAGCGATCCCTTGAATAGATGCAAGCACCCATTGGAACGTGTTGCAAACTGCATGCACCATTCTGAATAGTGCAAATTACAACGGATCATTGTAGTTTCACATAACTTGGGATAAATCTAGACATTGTGTAGCATTCGATTCCCACCATTACCACATTCATTGCTCATTTTTGCTCCTGTCACACATCGCAATCAAGTTTACACGCACCACAATGGCAGACTGGAGCTTGTCCAAAATACAGAAGCACAATTGAGAGTCCGACGCGCTATCGTAGCGTAGTCCATGTCTTACAATTAAAAACCGAAAAACACAGGCCCAGTCACCACAGCGTGGAATGCGCGAACAAATACAAAATTTTCCGTCATTGTGCAAAAAATTGCAATTCAAATCAATCAAGTGTCCCAAATGCAAGCAATAGACCTCATCTTCCACTCCCCTTCTGAATTTCAAAAAATGCCCGTCTTTCGATCAAAAGCGTGCAATTCGCTATGACCTATTGTCAAAAAAGAAGTGCAACCCCCCCTCTCCTGTTCTCCCCATACCATACCAGCCCCACCACGTGCATTGTACTCTACCCGGATCATTCTTTTCCAAGGTTTGCCACTGATGCCGCTTGCGGAACCCTTCGCTTTGGGGGGGGTCTGTACATAAACTCCACGCCCGAAACGGCTTGAACCGCATCGACGATCTGACCTGACAACAGGGCACGGGGCATGAGTTCGACGCTTCAAGACCCATACAACATCAAGCAGTGCAGAGGGAAGTTGCGCAGCTGAAATTCGGGATTAATGGCACATGCGCCAGAAGCATTTTTCTTCGCATGGTGCATTCCCGGCATATGTCGCAAGCATATCTGTTGGATATGCCGATCTGTGGCCGGCAAATTAACACACTTTGGAAATGTTAGCCAGAGCATATGATGCTTGGGCTGTATCCTTACCAATGTACATGCCCTCGGTGAGCTCCTTGTATCGGCGCACGGCCAGGGCAATGATGCTCACGGCGTGAGATATCTTGTCTTGCGTCCCCTTGAGAAGGAGAGAATATTGCTCAGTGTTTGGCCATCCAACGAACCAAATGGTCAGGAAGTTCAGCACGTGCAGAACACTCAGTGTCTCCAAAAGCAAAACTGAGAGTACACAATACAAATTACCGTGTCCTGCCAGACAACATTGTGCCTGCAAGTCAGCGATGTTCATGCAGATGGCAACGGTAGAGAACATATTCTTGTGGTAGGTGAACATCCTGTGCAAGCAAAGATGGATGGTTTTCCACCCATCTATTTAAACAATGCTCACCTCCAAAACAAAACTGCGGAGCTTCCCATATTCCTTGCTCCTCCCCCTCTCCACCCATGAAGATATCTTTGTCCCTGTCTTCGCGGCAATGCTGCGCACTGAATCCCCATGAGGACCTTGCAGCAGAATTGATGTCACAGAAGCGACGACAGTGTCAGCCTGCCCTTCGGCGTCACAAATATTTCCAACATGGCAAACACAGGAGGAGGCACTGTATTGCAAAGTATTTTGTATGCTGGCCTTTGCAACAATGAGAGAAAAATTCACAGAATTTATTTCTCTGCTGCCAGTAACTGTGACGTTCAGGCTTGGATCTTGTCGGGGGTATTCATCTACTAACGGACAACTCACTTTTCACTTACTCTTAACATACTTCATCATAAAGCGAAAATAGGAGGTCGAGGAGTCGTCAGCTG